AATTCCAGAAGTTCCAAAAGTGGGAAGAGGATGCTGAAGGCAGAGCTGGGACGGGGCTGTGCCTGACCCCGCGGCGCGGTCCGGGCCGGCTCCAGGGCCGGACACGGGGACAGACACGGGGACAGACGGGCAGCTCCGCTCGGGCTCCCGAACGCGGGACCGACCGCCCGGCCCCGCCCAGGGGAGGTACCGACACCGAGCGCCCAACCCTGCCGGGGGGGCGTGGCCAGCACAGGTGCGGGGGGCGTGGCCAGCACAGGTGCGGGGGGCGTGGCCAGCACAGGTGCGGGGGGCGTGGCCAGCACAGGTGCGAGGGGCGGGCCCGAGGTGATTTAACCCCCCTGAGGGGCCGCGGCCGCCATTTTGCAGCGCTGAGCCGAGTGGAGGGGCGGGGGTCGTGCCGGGCTCCCCGAGCGGGGCCCAGGTAGGCGCGGCGGCCTCGGCCACCCCCTCTAGCCCTCTGCACCTCTCCTTCCTCCCCTCCCGTCCTTCCCCCGGACCTCCCTCTTCTCGCCCCCTCTTTTCCCCCGAGCCGCTCTCCCCCCGCTCCGCACCCCCTGCGCTTCCCGGCTCCCCTCGCCCCTCCTTCTTCCCTCTCCTTCCTCCTCTCAATTCCCTATCTATTCCCTCTCAATTCCCCCTCTCTTCCCTCTCCATTCCCTCTCAATTCCTCCTCTATTTCCCACCTGTTACCCCTCAATTCTCTCTCTCCATTCCCCCTCTGTTCCCTCTCCGTTCCCCTATGTCCCCTCCATTCCCTCTCCATTCCATCTCAATTCCCCCTCTATTTCCCGTCTGTTCTCTCTCTATTCCCCCTGAATTTCCACTTTATTTCCTCTCAATTCCCTATCTATTCCCTCTCCATTTCCCCTCTATTTCCCACCTGTTACCCCTCAATTCCCTCTCTCCATTCCCCCTCTATTCCCCCTCTGTTCCCTCTCCGTTCCCCTTCTATGTCCCCTCTATTCCCTCTCCATTCCTTCTCAATTCCCCCTCTATGTCCCCTCTATTCCCTCTCCATTCCATCTCAATTCCCCCTCTATTTCCCGTCTGTTCTCTCTCTATTCCCCCTGAATTTCCACTTTATTTCCTCTAAATTCCTAATCTATTCCCTCTCAATTCCCCATCTATTCCCTGTTTCCCCTCTATTCCCCCTCAATTCCCTTTCCATTCCCTCTCTCTTTCCCGTCTGTTCCCTCTCTATTCCCCCTGAATTTTCTCTTTATTTCCTCTCAGTTCCCTGTCTATTCCCTCTCAATTTCCCCTCTATTTCCCACCTGTTACCCCTCAATTCCCTCTCTCCATTCCCCCTCTATTCCCCCTCTGTTTCCCCTCTGTTCCCTCTCCATTCCCCTGCTGTGTCCCCTCTATTCCCCCTCCATTCCTTCTCAATTCCCCTTCTATTTCCCATCTGTTCTCTCTCTATTCCCCCTGAATTTCCCCTTTATTTCCTCTCAATTTCCCCTCTATGTCCCCTCTATTCCCCCTCTGTTTCCCCTCTGTTCCCTCTCTATTCCCCCTGAATTTTCTCTTTATTCCCTCTCAATTCCCCCTCTATTTTCCACCTGTTACCCCTCAGTTCCCTCTCTCCATTCCCCCTCTATTCCCCCTCTGTTCCCTCTCCGTTCCCCTTCTATGTCCCCTCTATTCCCTCTCAATTCCCCCTCTATGTCCCCTGTATTCCCCCTCCATTCCCTCTCTGCTTCCCATCCGTTCTCTCT